GAGGATACGTGGGGCCGCGGATTCCCGAGGACTGAAGAGAATGAGTGCACATTCTTGTTGCTCTTGAGGAGAGTAATGTTCCCGTCGAGGGCCCCTTGCTTGTTTCTTTCGGGCGCTGATATTTATTCTCGGAGGTTGTTGGGACTTCGAAGATGCGGTCAGGGCGCACAATGCCGTTTTGTTCCGATGATAAAAGGAGTGTAAATTTTGTGACACGTATGTAACATGTAGACTCAAGATATATCAGGAAATAAATTAAAGTTTAACTCAAGTGGTAATAATAATAATAATAATAATAATAATAATAATAATAATAATCATAATGATTTCTTTTATCGATAGACTTGTCGGTTCACGTAAACAATTTAAAATTAGAATGTTTATGATACGTGTAGTAAGTTTTTAAAACACGTAGAAAATGGGTAATACTTTGGACTAATATGCATGTATGATTCGTTATTTGAATACTTCGTAGGTCTTCTCCGTCTCTTCCGTTGTGAGGCAGGTTACACTTTTAGAAGTGTGGGATGTCAGGTTTGCACTAAGATTTTTCCTTTTCATTTAATTAATTTTCTATTTAATATTTAGCGCTACTTGATCAAAGATTATATATCAATGTCTCATGATAATTTGAGCTTCATAAAATACGATTACTAAAGTAATATAATACTTCAATAATTTGGTAAAAAATTGAAATTATTATGTTGCGTTTTTCTGAAAGTCTAAGATTTGGACTTGGAGTGTTACAATCCTTTCACAACTTTGCCATAAAAAAACAAATTTTCAATGCATAAAGGAAACCCTTTCAAGTAGAAAAGTTTTAGGGAATATTTGAAAGTGTGGATTGAATATTTAAACTGTCATTTAAAAAAAATATCACCGCTAATAAAGAGTAAGTAGAGTAGATTATGGTATTTTTTCAATTCAGTGATTCAACACGGAAAGCAAGCATAATGCTAGTATCGGTTTATTGTGTTTTAATGTCCACAACATTAATAAGTTAAAAGACAATGATTCCAATGCCCGTTCATGAAAACAAGTAATTTCATTATTCAAATAAATCACTCCAAATATTCTATTAGTTTCCAGTAACACATACACGCTATCAATTTTAAGTCTGACAAGCCGTTAAACAGTTGTAAATTCACTTAATAAAACCGAATTTCATCGTATTGCAGGCATCGCCGTTCCCACAGACTGAGGGACAAGAGCAGTGTATATCGCGGCCCCATAAACCGTTCTCGGTTCTCAAAACAAACGGTCGCTAAAATTGCATTTAACGCACGAGCGGCGGGATGCGTTGGAAGTAAATCATCGACGACGAGGGCTTCCATCACCCCTGGCGCCGCATCTGCCTAGCCTCGCCTCACCCGCTCGCCACTCACCGCACGGGAGGCCCAAACACCAGCTCTGACGGCCGTCAGTGGCACCCTCGCCGTATGGTGACTGCGCGACTCGCGTTGGCCTTGTTTTTGCACCACGCTCCCGAGGGAATTTATTGCACGCCGAATATTCTGGAAATAGAATTATAGTCATGTTGCAAATCCGGCCTTTAGTTCGCAAATCGGAAATAATTGGACGTATTATGTAACGTTTACGGGCTATGGAGTCATTTAGCACCCGCGCGAAAGGCTTTTGATAAGGCACACAGACCTTACTGCATGCTGGCATGCGTGCCGATCGGTATGGATACTGCATCGTTCTATGAAATTCAATTCGGCAATGGTTCGCGAAAACGACCTGCACGGAATGATGCTTTGATGTTCCTGGGTAGTACAACACAAAGTACCAGTTAGGCTCATAAGCAGAGGTCAAAGGACGCATTGTTCATTCCAGAGCGCTCCAGTACATTGCATACGAAGTATCGGATAATGCTAAGAGACCATTCATCCAAATTTTCACCATTGAGTCTGTTCAGGAGCTTTGCATAAGCCTTTTGGTTATATTCTGATGGCACAATGTCTATGTAAATTATATGTTCTGCTGTTCTACTGTCTTCCCATTTAACACCCCCTGTATTATAACAATTTACTGGGAAACATTGTGTTGAAAAAGTTTATTATTTTTCACTATTCTTTTTAGGACGATCGTGGAAAGGAGCCGATGAGAATCTAAGCTGAAGAGAAGGGTCGAGCAGAAATTCTTGGAATGCCATTGCTCCAAAATTACCAATATTATAGTTAAGGCCAAATACAGGCCACAATTTTTTTATTATCTCCTCTGGTCCCTCTTCCTCCCCTCTTTTCTCTCATCCTCCTCACCAGCTTCTCCACCAGCCTCTCTCTGTACCTGACCTGACAGGTGATCTTTCGAACGTTTCCCAACCTGTACTTTGCTCTTCATGCATGGGGAGCCAGGCTCGCTTAGCTCTCTCCCCCAAGAGAGGGAGTGAGTTTCTATTGATTCCGAGCGCGTCAAATACGTACGTCATGGGTCCCGTAAGTGTAGTGCATTCATATATCCTAGGGGGTGACGATGTTCTTTCCCCAGTGGAACGTGAAATCCATATCCTTCATACGTACGTCATGGGTCCCGTAAGTGTAGTGCATTCATATATCCTACAGGGTGACTATGTTCTTTCCCCGGCGTAACGTGAAATCCATATCCCTCCGTCGGTATCTTCTCCATCGGGCGGCGCCACAATCGGGGTAACCTCCCAGTTTGATGCACGTGTCCCGACGTATATTACGTAAGTGCATGTAACACAAGAGGAGGAGACTCGTATGAGGACGGAAAGATCGCGCGCGGTCTTGTGGCCTGGTTTGTTATGGTACCGATCCAACATTCGCCTGGAAATGATCGGGAAACCCCCCTGGAAAACTTACCGAACGCAGAATCTTACGTCAGAATTCTCCTCCTGGGTGGTTGAATTCGATCCAGCTTACGGTGTCACCAAACATCGACGTTCAAAATGAAAACATCGATGTTAACAATACATCGACTAAAAAACCATCAAGTCATCACCTAAAAAACCAAGTTTTTTAAACATCGCCATATGGATGTTGTGAAAACATCGACAACGATGTTGAATTCCTAGTTGCAATCCTGCGAGGAGGCGCGGCGTCGAAACAGGCTCTGTGCCACGCACACGTAATGAGCTGCGTTTTATCGCCTGGCGTTAAGGTGCGGCGCAGGCGGCGACGTCAAAGCAAGCGGCGAGAAAGCCGTACCAAAGAGGCGCCTAAGCGACGGATAAGCGATGGCAGAACACTAGCCAAACGGCTCACAAATGAAGATGAAGAGGTCGTCAACGAGTATTAAAGCCGTGGGCAACCGGTGCCAATGCAGTGTCCAGCAAGAGCTAAAGCTGTGGTGCACGGTTTGTTAAGTGGTTCTCTGAATGCTGGAAAGGGTACGTAGTGAGCATACGCGCTCCAAACGGTAACTAAGCCGTGAGCAAGTTATGGTCAAGTGGTGGCCAAATGGCGATCAAGTTGTGTGGAAGTAATGGGCAAATGATGACCAATCTGTGACGTAGCAATGGCCAAACGATTCCCAAACTGCGTTTTTATGGACTGTTTACTCTATTAAATTCTCCTGGGGTGCTGGAAATTTATTTTCTTAAAAGTGACCGGCAGGACCCACGTGTTACAGTTTCTAAGAGATTTTATGAAAAAAAAAAACAACTTACAGTATACCGAATATAATTTAACCTATGAGAGACCAGGCTCAATGGTGGGCAACTTCGAGGTTTCAAGTTTTTTGAACTTTCATCTTTCTTATTTTTTCTCTTACAGAAACTAGTATTCACGTACGTATCACATTGGCACATTTAATATGCAACGTTCTATCACGATTACATTACTTATTAAATTGGATTGTTGGTTGAAAGTAGATACCTTTTTTATTTTTTGATAATAAATAGGATATTGTCAGGTATCAAATATTTATACTGCAATTATGCTCTATTTATGTATTGGAATTACTTAATCACTTCACATTTTACAGTATTCAAGTGGTGATGTGGCGGTAGGCCGAGCTGTAGTCTAACATCACAAGATGTGGCGATAGATGACAAGCATCGTGCATGAGTGAAACAGGTGATTCCTCGCAGATTCTACAAAGGCCAGCAGGCTCCGAATGGTCGGAACATGCTAACCTCTTGAACACATGTGCGCAGGAGCAAGGGTGGCAAGATGTTTTGGGTTTAAAAATAAAGTATTTAATGTTGTAGATAACAATTCGGGCTTCCGAATGGTAGGAAGGCAATGCTAACTCTTGAACACAAGTGCGAAAGAAGTGGGCAAAGGGTGGCGAGTTGTTTTGTTTAAAAATAC